TAAGAAAACTTACTATTGTTCTTGTTTCAGCACCAAGGAAATTTCTCAGATTGACAGCATGTATGGCTGAGCAGGCCTTTTTATCCAGCTGAAATATCAGGTAAAAACATTAGAGAAGTATGTGGATATCACTCTGCAATCATCACTTTATCACTAGTACTCACTGAAGAATCTTTTCCAATCCAGTAATATATTTGCCAGTACAGCTGGTCAGTCTCATCATAATCAGTCTAAAAGAGAACACAAAATGTGTAAATATCAATGTCAAATTACATAATTATTTCACAATTTCTAAATGTATCGTCATTACCTTTAGTACAATGTAACAGTCAGCTTCATAGAATTTTCCATACAGAGCTTGAATGCAAAGTTTAAAACATTTTGACATTAAAAATTATCTTAACTATTTGCTATAAGAAAAATAATTAAATGAAAAAAGTGATTTCAAAGTCATGTTGAGGCAAACTTTATGGATATATTGTAAAGTGCAACCAGGTTTGTGTGCAAGTGCTCAATAAATACAAGGTGTAAATGACATTGCAAGTTGCTGTCAAATTTATTAGCCTGTTCCAATTTTATTTACAACTTGTCTTGTAATGTGTTAAAACAAGTTTCTGGTTAACACAGTGAAACAGGGATTGTTGAGAAATTGTACATTACTCTCATACTGAAAGCATGACTTAAAAACTTCAAGAAAAGAACGTTCTAGAAGGGTGATGCACTATGAGAAGTACAGTACTATAGCTTAAATTGCAATGCTACAAAAAAGACTAAAAAACAGCCCATCAAATAATTAGATTTTAGCATATAAGAAAAGTTCATTGGTGAGAAAATTACTTGATATAACAAAACATCTTTGTTTATGTTTTAACAAACTAAACTTGTTGAAACATACCATCATCAACTCGGATGGGTACAAAGTTTTCAATCTGCCACACTGAAACCCCTGTGAAACAGAAATAAGAAGAATTAGAGTACTTCAGTTATTTAATTGTTCAAGTAGGAGTTCATGGTATCTATGACAATACTATTTGGTGCACAGATCACCTATCAATCACCTGTACAGTATCAAGTCATGACAGCTTACCTGGCTCACCTGTACAGTATCAAGTCATGACAGCTTACCTGGCTCCTGGACCTATACAATCACCT